CTAATTCTCTTCCTCTTATTAAATTACTAATCCTTACACACCTTTCTAGTAATTAGTAATTGTAGTGGTATTTGTACTTTGTATTTTATTGCATGCTTAATTTCTTAATAAGTTTAGTGCTAATTTTCCTCGAATGTTAGTCTAATATCTATCTTTCTTGCATGCTCGCGTTTGGTTCGGCTACGCACCGCGCGTCATGCGGCAGCGCCCCTCGGTCGGTTGGGCGGGAGGAGGGCTGCGTTTTGCCTGGGATCCGCGCGTAACAGCCTTCTGCTGGTGTCACACGGGCCACTTGACGGTGCAGTAATTGCATCGCCTCTTGATAGATGCAGTCATTGCATGTCAACGTCCATATTCAATTAGTTGGTTTAAATTGTTTAAAACTAAATTATTTAAAAGCTAATTTAAACTTCAATAAAATAAACCCTCGGCGGGGATGATGCAGGCACGAGTGCTGTCGGCCACCCCGACGGAGGGCTCTAGGTCCGTGCTATTGTGGTGAAGGATGTCGCCGGATAAGAGAAGACACGGCGAAGTTGCGGCGAGCAACTTCAAATTTCCCAGCCCACTTACGATGCGGCCCAGGTGATCCGTGCGCACCGTTGGGTACTCCTCTGTCTCAGCTCTTCAACTTGCATCTTTTTGAGGTGATTGTCGCTCATCTGACGGTGCTCTATTAAAGCATCTCGCTTCTGACGGTGCTCCATTAAAGCATCCCCCTCTGCTATAATAGCCACTAGTTTCTCCCGAAGTCTCGAATAATATTTGTCCTTTTGTTGCAGCTCTCCCAGTTCCTTTTGCATACACAAGATACAACTATCTAAACGCGTTTTCTTCTCGTTTAATGCAGCAAGTTTTCCAAAGCAATGGGCCCACAGATTCTAAAATGGCAATGCCGGATAGCTCTAGGTCCGTGCTATTGAGCCAGTGCAATGTGGTGAAGGATGTCGCCGGATAAGAGCAGACACGGCGAACCAGCAACTTCAACTTTCCCACCTCCCTTACGATGCGGCCCAGGGTACTCCGTATCCCATCAATTTGCTCACTGCGTACTCCCTGGCAGTGGTCAATTTTGCCAGCAAATTTGCGGGGCATCCATCCGATATGATGCACATCAGACGGTTTGAGTACCCATGTATGCCCACCATATCCAGGACCATGGAGACGCTGTCATTAATATCCTCTTTTCACATGGCCTTATCCTCAACCAAGGCCTGTGGAAAAATAGCTATGGTTACATATCAATATATATGAATATATTAACTTACCAGCTTCATGTGTAGGTAATGCAAATTCGAGCCATCGAGGTTGAATCCTGCGATGGCCAGCAACTTCCACTTCTCGTGCCAATACCATTTTGCATGGAATTCGTCCGCAATGAGAACGAACGGCTCTCTCTCAAACCGCCGAAGATTGTGCATCATGAAAATTAGGCCATCGTTGAGGTAACTCTCCCGACTCTCCGACGTTATCAACTGTACCGCATTTAGTAGCTGCTGCTCCGACAAGGTGCGCACGAAGGACAACAAATATTGATGCATCACGATTCAAATTACAAAGGTTACAACCGTCCAACCAACCGTTCCACCTCTTCGACCTCCCTGGCAATCCGGCACAGTCTTGCGAATCGCCGGCTGCGAACGTTAAGTTGTAAAGCTGTTCGATCAGTAGCTTTTTCCACTGCTGGTATACACAGTGCTGTTATTAAAAATAATTAGAAAATATTAGGACATATCATATACATATGTCAATATATGTAGTATTTACAGCAGGTTTCTGTTCTGGCAGGTGCCACTCGTCCATCAGCAAAATGAATGGAGCAGGATCTGGAAACGCATCAAGCGCTTCCAGATCCATTAAGGAGTTGTCGCCTTCCATACTTTTACGCTTACCATCCAAGAAGTTTGCAATAAGTTGAATGTCCTCGGGATCCCGATGCCCGAAAGCAGATTTCGCTTTGAAATTTAGAACAAGGCCTTCGACAGTTGCTGATATTAAATGGAATGATGTAGTGCAAAAAAAATAAACCGAAAGCCGTTGATAAAAAAAACGTCAACGGGTCTGATAGGAATGCCCCACCGACCGAACAAGCAAATGTATACCCACTTTAACACTTAAATATTATTTAACAAATGAAATGTAAATATTGTTGAATATGAATATCTATTATATTCATTACATATTATAGTGTAACTTACCAGTTTCATGTGTAGAAAATGGAAATTTCTTCCATCCAAGTTTAAGGGTCTATTTCTAGCACCTTCCACTTGTTGCCACGCACGTCCCACTTCAAATGTATTTCGTCGTAAATCACGACGAAAGGAGCATTCCCATAATGCTGGAGGTTGTAGATCAAATTGACCACACCAACTCCCATTTCATGGGAATGCCTCTCTCGAGTGACACGGCCGATTCCATTTATTACCCTTTCCTCGCTTACGCGCAGGAATGGAACCATTAAGGAGTGTAACATGATGTTACTGCTCGGTAAGCTCAGTAACAACTGGTAAGAATTCTTGCAAATTTCAGCTCTATATATACCAATTTCTCTATTCCTAACTGTTCTTCTTGACAATTTCTTTATTCATTCATCCCTCTTGTGCAACTATATTACAAGTTTAACTTTTAGCTACCAATTTGGTAATAAATTTGGCAGTACAGTGGGTAGTACTGTCACCCCTCAGCGACTTCCCGGGGCGGTGGTTGCGCTGGGTTCAAATCCCCGTCGAGATGTAAAAATTTGTATTAGTACACAACACTGATTTTCGTGCTTTTGTTTTGCTCCTGTCTTACTTCGCATCCTCTTTTTACGATCTTGTCCGCTTTTTATCAGGCACACATACATACATACATATGTATATGTCATTCATTTTCGAGCTTTTCTTTTGCTGTCTCTTTCCTTATCGTACTCCGGATCGCAGCAGTTTTTTACGGCGAACACATACATTTAAATCTGAGACTCACGTATTGGTTTTTTGTACCGCCCCTCTAGTACCAGGCAACTAGTTCCGCACTGGTGTCGCACTAGCTACCATTCTCACCTCCCTGGTTCCAGATCGATTACCCGCAATGTATTTCAGCGGAGAATTTAACACATGCATGTCCTAGGGCGGAACCACCCCTGGTTCCCGCTCGATTACCCTTCGATTACCAGTAGCTAGTTGCTCAGGAGGTAGTTCCGAACTAGTTACCAGTAGAAAGCCAGCAACTAGTTCCCCACTCGACTACCCTTCGATTACCTGTAGCTAGCTCTGACCTAGTTACCAGTAACTAGTTCCGAACTGACTACTGGTAGTAGTCAATCTGGCAGTCTGGAATAATACAAAAATAAAAACACAATGTCTTTCATTATAACGAATAATTTTTAATTATATGATGCTTAGCCTACTCCTGGTTTTCGGCAAGACACTTCTTCTTAAACACCCTTTTCTTCATCAATTGCATTGCCTTCCGCACAGTGTTTTCGGGAGGCTCATCGCCAGGCGGAATACATTCTGTAATTAATATTTGTTTTAATTTATATGAAAAATTTTTAAATCTCTAGAAGTGTAAATGGTATTTTACCTAGCAAAGCTGCAAAAAATTCTTTGTGGGTCCTAAGGGCCTTCTTCCCTTGGACCCCATCGACGTTATATGCCAGAACAATGTCCTCACTCAAAATAAGGTTTAAGCCGCTCAAAACGCCAGCTGGCTGGAGAATCGATTTCATTGGTGTTATCTGTAAGTGAAACATTAAAATATAAAGATAAGACAGAGAAAAAAGTCATAAAATTTAGAGTTTAGATATACTTACATAAATGTCCCTATTTAATTTTATTTTTTCTTCCAGTTCTATAAGTTCTTCCTCACGTTTTATAGGGAACTGTCCCCGAATGGGATTCAATTCCCCCTTCTCCTTTACCAGCTGCTTTATTAAAACAGTTTGATCCGCTAAAATTTGGACCACTGCATTCAATTGATCTAAAAACAATGTTGTTAATTAATTTGATTATACAAATATTTTTCTGTTAATCTTTATTAGTCTTACCACGAATAACTGCATTCTCCTGTTTTAGAGTTTCTAAAAGTATTTGCACGTACCTGTTTATATTAATTTGATTTATTTATTAATTCTTTCCCACTTTTATAATAAATGTTCACACAAAAGACTCTTCCAGCGATTAGATCTTGTACAGAAGTGAACAAAATCAACGCATAAAGCAAACGAGGAAAACAAATGAATTTTGTTTGTGTAAATTCTTGTCTCTTTCATTCCACGATCGCAACTACAGTAAAATATCACGATTAACTTACCATTTCGGCTCATTGCATGTCGTGGCTCGGTAAAAACTAGCTGAGTGGGCACTGTAACTCCACGGAATTGCGGTTATTTGCCGCCTTCAAAAACAAACCGAAGGCGGCTTCGTTTTTCGGTTCTTTTTCGACTGGTCCGCGTTCGCTTCCCGCGTAACTAGTTGCAGAACTAGTACATTGTAGTCGACGAAGACCTGGTCCGCGTTCGCTTCCCGCGTAACTAGTTGCGTAGCTAGTTGCGCGGTAAACAGCGCAGAACTAGTTCGAGAGGGGTCAATTGACCCCTTTGGTTCTACAGGGGCCGTTGTCCTGTATGTGTGCAACGTATCATGTATATGTGCATATAACGGTGTCCCGGAGCGGTGTCTTTCATGCCATTCTTGGAAATATCTTCGAAAAGTGTAGTTAAGTTTGTGAAGAAATGTCTTCGCAAACTATCATTTAGATCTATTTGAAAATAATATAAAGTACAGATATAATTAGATTGCAGATGTACATATATGGCCATTTAAAAGGCACAAAAAATCAAAAATGTATTCTTAAATAAACTCTAAAAAAATTCTAATTCCAAGAACTTTTGGAAAATAACATCTTACCTAGGTAGATTACGATAGTGGCGCGTCCTGCAATGTCCCAGGATCCCAGTCGCTGGTCGTGGCAGATGCGGCAGAGGAACGTTTTGCTTCCTCACGCTTGCTTCGCTTCTTCTAGGTATCCTGCTTGGTGAAAATTTGCATTAATTATTTGTACTATTTTGTTGTCACAGTTAGAACTTACCCGTTCTCTTTGTTTCGGGGTTTTGCTATAGGTACGAATCCGATTGTATATACAATTACCTCCCACCTTCGGGCACCAAACGTCCCCCTCGTGGGACACAGCTCCAACAGCTGCCTGCCCAGCTCTTTACATTGGGAGAAGCTCAGCTCAAGTTCTTCCTTTCTGTACATATTGATAACTCCGTCGCATAGTAGACGTACCTCATTCGAGCTCATCTTGTGGCCTATCTTCTTCCGCGCTAGCACTTTTTTGTAGAGGGTTTGAAGCTTAGAGCTGGACTGCAGCACGTCCACAATTCTTGGATTTGTTATCCTACCCATGCCCTGCTCCTCTTCTGCCTCCGACAGCGGTGAGAGCGGAGCTACAGGCTGCTCCTCTTCTTCCATTAAAGCGTTTACGCTCTCCTGGAGATCCGCTTCAAACGGCGTCTGCTGTTGAAGCGTTTGTTGCTCATGCTGTTGCATCTCAGATGGGGATGGGGAGCTCACATGTGCCTGAGCCTGTGCCTCTGTCTCTGCCTGGGACTCGTCCTTCCATGGGAAGTGACTGCGGGCCGACAGCGGGGCAGTCAGATGCTGCTGCTGCTGTTGGTGATGCGGCGATGTCAGTGTTGGTTGAATGATCAATGAAGTGAAGACAAAAGATTACTTACTTTGTCATTGCCATGAGAGGCGGAGTGAATAAATGATAACAGTTCTTCTCCTGCCTCCACTTCGGGCTGGTGCAAAGGACTTGCAATCTTGGCCGAGATTTGGGGCTGCTGTTGTTCAGCTAATGGCTGTGCCGCCTGTTGCGTTGGCTGTGGTTGCTGCTGCTGTGCCTGCACCTGAGAGAAAAGGAAGGATCATTCCATGATCAAATAACCCGGAGTTTTGAGGTCAATTTGAACCGACGGTATATTTACGGTATATAATGGTATATTTTGCCAGTTTCATCAATCTATTAAATTTAATTTTCAACGTTATATAAAAATCCAATAAAAGGAAGTATTTCGAATAGGCCAATCATGTATAGAATTGATTCATCAATCGTGCAAAATTGAGTGGGCATGGCTAAATGTTCTATATAGATAGTAATATTCGACGGAATATCAAAAACGAGGAATATGTAAAATAGAACTTGAATTCGTCAGTATATTTACGGTATATTTTGAAAATTAGGCGGTATGTTTCGGTATATTTCTGAGGGTCGGAAGGTACGCGGTCACACTGTTAACAACACTCTTACTGCAATTAAAAATTTGTGTTTTTATTAAAACTATTACTGATAACCGTTAGAAAATTTATATCGTTTCAAATACGGGCTCTTGCGACAACAGTGGGCTAAACAATAACGATGGCAACGCTACCACCCCGTAAGAGTCAGACGCCAACACGGATCTGCATCTCCAAGCAGCATTTGACGCCGCTTCAGACATTGCTCCAAATGGGATTTCCACGGCACAGAGCGTGAGTGTCCATATCATAGCCATCAAATGCCACTAACCTCCCGTGCCTTCACCGGAAGCTGAGCGGCTGTATCTGGGATATAAGCCGCAAACAATAGCGGCAAGGAGAGCGTCGTGTATTGATTTTTTTTATTTACATCCCCAGGGAGAAAGCTTTGGCGTCGACGGGAAACCGAGGTGTGCAAATCGCTTCCGACTGGCTGTTGGCCCATGTGAATGACGCCTCTTTGGATGAGTGCGCCCCACGCGAATACATCATATATGCATGTCCCACGGGACCTTTCCTGCAGCAGTTGGAGGAGTTCTGGTCAAAATCGCGCCAAATGTGCGGCTGGAATGGTGCCCACAACTACGTGCCCCACATCACACTTGTGTCTTTCTTTAAGGTTACAGCTTAAGGGAATTTGTATCCTTAAAAATTGTACTCACATCAGATTATCCACCAACAGGCACCGGACGAATGCTCGCTGCAGCTTTCAAAGGCTCTGAAGCAGGTGGTCGACATGACGGGGGCCCTACTGGATCGCCCCCTCAAGCTAGAGCCGTATATGAGCCAGAACTTCATGGGCTTCTTTGTGGCCGAAGAGGATGCCAACTATCTCAAGCGTCTGGCTCTGCAATACGTCAAGGAGGTGTCCAACTCAAGTATGCCCATGTGGTTCTGTTGGTTGCGTTGCACTCTCTTTGGGTTGTTTTTGTTTTGGCTATCTTTTTACGTTCTACATATTCACTGTCATTCGGTTCGGTTCTCTGTTCCAAGTTTCGGAGTGGCTTACGGTTATGTTCTTCTCCTCTTTTCCTGCCTACACACTAATCGTTGGCAATGGAACCCAATGTAATGGCAATGGTAACGATGCACAGTCATTAGCGATACCTATGAGCAGCTGGACGCCATTGTGGCCTGTTTCCCCTGGTGCGGAGCGGTCTCCTCGGGCACCCGCTGTATACCACGCAGCAGTCGATGTAAGCTCTAGTAGAATTAGTATCTAAAATTAATCCCTTATCACCACGAAAACATTCCCACACTCACATACGTCCTTATCTGTCGATGCATGATGTCTTACACTCACCCGTAGACCGTAGCTACATTACTAATCTATATAGACTCTGATGACGAGTAGAGTTTATAGCAAACCACGCCATGACACGGCAATTAGTAGCTTATTATTATTGGCATACAAGTACATATAAGCAGCCCCGCAATATCTGACATTTAGTAATTGATTGTCTTTCGTAGCGTTCGGTCACTAATTGCCTATAATTCCCCGTAGCCATCTCACTCGAGCCCCACGTAAAGAGCCTGCACCTGACGCTCGCCTATCAGTTCCCGCAGGCACAATTCAATGCACTGAAAGCACTCGTGGAAACACTAGACGCCGGCTGTGCCTCCAATTGGGAACTGCGCCTGTACTCCCGCGACCCACGGCTCGCCACCAAACAAGTTAGCGCACCTGCAACCTCACAATCGCCAAAGCGGACTGTAATCCCCACATTCTTTGCTTGCAGGTCCAGAAAGTCGTCTATCCGCACAATCCTCACGAGACCGATGAGCTAGAGCTGCGGATTGGCGACTACATCTACTTGAACAGTGACGTTGTCGACAGCTCAAGTGACGGCTGGGCCGAGGGAATCTCCTGGCTCACGGGCAGCACGGGCCACCTGCCCGTTAACTACACCGAACGCACTGCCGAGTCAGACGCCTGGACCCTGCATCGCGTTGTCCAGCTGTCTAAGAGTGTGGCCTCTTCGCTTACATCTGCCGAAGATCTGGACATTGTGGACGGGCGCAGTATATCCACAGAACCCGACGAACGTCAGCGGCTGAGTAAGTAATCCATCTAGAAACGAGATAAAAGCGGACACTCCAGTTTATTCACACTCCCTTATCTTATCAATATTTCTCAGTAAAAGTTGTTCTTATTTGTCACTTGCTTTCTTTTTTTCTTTTGTTAGGTACAACCCATCCCGAGATTATAGAGGGCTCATCCTTTGAAGATTCAGAGCAGAGTGTCGAGAAATACTTGCGACAGACACTGAAACCGTGCCTGGAACTGCCATCAGTTCAATTGCTCAATAGCCAGAACTTGAGCCATCAGCAAAATCCACACACACCCACGATTGAGATTACGACCAATATGTCTTCCTGCTCTACATCGATGTCCAAGCAGGTGGTGGACGAGATCCTTGTAGAACCACTGGCAGCGCAGCCACCGCGTCCCGATGACACGCTCAGCGTCCACTCGGATCACTCGATGCATCCGTGTTCGCTGGATGCCTCACAGACAAAGAACCGCAAAGTGTACATCATGCGACATGGCGAGCGAGTGGACTTTACATTCGGTACTTGGATACCCTACTGCTTCGATGAGTTCGGGAATTACATGAGGAAGGACCTTAATATGCCCAAGACCCTTCCACGTCGCAAGAACAGCCCCGAGGGCTGGCAGAACGACTCCCCGTTGACCAATGTGGGTGTATTTCAGGCAAACCTCATCGGCCAGGCTCTGCTGGAGGCTCACGTTCAGGTCGATCATGTCTACTGCTCGCCCTCATATCGCTGCATTCAGACCTGCACCAGTGCCCTGGAAGGTCTCCAGCAGGGCGGACAGCACAAGATCAAGCTGGAGCCGGGTCTGTTTGAGTGGATGGCCTGGTACCCCAGCGGTGTTCCCGACTGGCTGACCAAGAATGAACTAATTGAGGCCAAGTACAACATCGATTTGGAGTATGAGCCCGTGCAGCCCTCAGGGGAGCTTACCGCCAGTCTCAAGGAGTCCACAGAGCAGTTTTATACCCGTAATCACGACGTTCTGTTGCAGCTATTGGAGCGCACAAGTGTGTATCCAACTATATTTGATGACTTCATTTGAAGATTTCTTTGTAATTTAAAATTTCGATCCAATTTTCTTTCAGCTGGCAATATCCTTGTAGTGGCTCATGCAACGACATTGGACACCTGCTCTCGCCAGTTGACCGGTGGAGCTCCTCGGAGCACCAACGAACTGCGTCAGGTTATACACAAGATCCCCTACTGCAGTCTGGCCACCGTGGAGCAGGTTGATGGCGTCTGGAAGCTGGTGGAGCCCGAGTGCCTGCCGGTGACACACTCGAAAAACCCGCGATTCGAGTGGAATGCCTTGGCGACCACCTAGTGCCAGTGCTTGGAGCAGTTTCTATGCAAGCACTGAGACTGATCGAGCAATCGAGAAAGAAAGCACACGCTCCAATATTTAAATTTTGTTGCTTAACTATTCAAATTTAGTATGCTTTTTCCGCTCGCACATTGATAACAAAATTGCTTTGTGACTGCCATATACAAAGAGATACTGAAAGCTATGTAGATATACAATGCCACGATACACTGCGATGGAATACGATTTTGTTTCGATACAATAATGCATATTAAATGTAAAATCATTATGCTGCATGTTCTGCCACTAGCCAGTTGAAGGGAATCGAATCAAGAGAGACCCGGTACTTTATTGCAATCAATATGCAAATACACACATATATTTACACAAATGAGAACGTAGACCATATACCACAGTACTTTTTGGAGCATTTGCTCAACGCTTTAGCAACATACATATATAGTTTAGCTTGCTCTGTTACTAGTTTTGTTAGACCACTCGATTAGCCTTGCTGCGTAGCGCAGCGTTTGATTAGCATTCACCTAATACCTACCCCTCAAGAGGCAAATTTCTTACCAACATAAATGTTGAGTTTATATATATACGTAAAGCCCTATAGCCATACTATATAGAGTATGAACATATATATCGATTGTATTGAATAGTTTTAGAGTTACAACACATCGTATAAAACATAACCGAACAATAAATACATTTGAATACATGTAATGCCCAATTTGCATTTTTCTTTTTGATAAATCCTCCCTCTATACCTGGATTGATAGAACAGACTCCATATGAGTATATCGCAGTGTCTTGTACGACTCTGAAGGGGTCGATTCTTTATTTATTGCGCATAGAATTAGATTAGTAAGGTAATTTGTTTTAGTTTTTAAATCTATTAATATAATTGCTGAACGTTTGGTTTTACTTGAATTACATATCATCTGCGTTTTGTATTCATTCGGTATTCGGGTAATATATATCCCAATATATATATATATATATGTATATATTTGTTGTGTGTGTTTGTTTCTGATTTGAAGGAGGAAACCAAGAGAAGCAGAGGCCGCAGGCGGGGCGACAACATTAAAGAACGCGAACGTTAACGAAATCCGATTACAAATAACTTAAATAATACGAGAATATGCCAAACATTGAATTTTACTTTCAAACTTTCTAATGGATCCGCGCCGCTCTTGGGGGCGACTGTTAAGTATATAAAGCATTTAATTGTATATGTAAGAAAAAGGCGACAAAGTAGAAGCTA